GATCATAGTTTTCTTGCTGTTCGCTGTGTGTTAGTGTCTCTTCAGAGGTTTCGAGGATGTGATGATATTATGATTGGGATGGGGGGGTGGGTGTGGGCGGGGGGGGGGGTTTTGAATCGTGTGTTTTTTTTGTTTGGGGGGAGGGGGGGGGTGGAGAGGGGGGAGGTTTAAGTGGGGGGGGGGGGGGGGGGTGGCTTGCTTTATACTGTCAGTATTGAACCTAAACAGTAAAGGAAATAATCAATCCGATAACAAGACTTCTCAAACAATCACCCACCTTGAGAACTGTGTAGTCAGACGTTCGATTGACATAATCGGAGAAATCGTTGAGCGCTTTTTCTTCCTGGCGGTGGTTCTCTTTTATCTGAAAATAAAATTATCACTATAGTTAAAAGGAAGGCAGATGAGATCAGAATCGACTGAAAGCAAAGAGGAATGCAGTAAAAAAAAATTAACCGAGAATACACATGGAAAGATTTACATTAGATTTGGATAAATTCTACCGGCAGTGTTTCGAGCAGAATAGGCGATTTTAACACTTACCGAATCATAATATTCCTCTTCTTCAATAAGGTCCTGATTTCGCTGCGCTTGTAACAGCTGATCCTGAACAACGAAAAACAAACACATTTACAAAGTGTACCCAGAAGCCACTTATGAGGTTTCTGTTATAACTCAGCAAAAACTGAGCTGATCGCACTACGCTCACAAAGTCTGAAAGTGGGGAGCAAGGATTACGCAGTGGTGAAATCTCTCGCCTCCCACCAACGTGGCCCGGGTTCAAGAAAGAAAACCCAAACCCACGTGATTCGTGATTTGCTTACAAGCATTTTTCCCGCGCTCGGAACCTACAGCATGGTTCTTTCGGATTGGTTGGGCGTCTGGGTCCTTCGTTGTCATTGGCCAAAGGTAACCTCTTTGTTTGTGGTCTCACGATATACACACAGTCGTTGGAATCCTGCGGGTGACTATATGAACCCTTTTCGGTAATTATTTTTTTTGATACTGTTTGCTTTCAGTGTGAGGCTAGCTAGAAGCTAGTCATAAATTACTCTTCGAAACGAAACTCTTCAAACATAAATCTTGTGTGGAATGTAATAAAATACATAACTACTGTTTCATAACAATTACCTCATGCAAAGAAACAATAATATTAACATATCGTAACCACGGGCCGGGGCTTTATGAATCCGGTCCTAACATCGCATCCATAGTTAGCCCTAGTCTCTCCTACCTCTCCTTTAGTTTATTCCATTTACATCCCTAGTCTCCCCTCCCTCAAGATAACTAACCTGAGTGGCTGACACTCCAGCAGCTCTATCGTTGAGTATTTTGGTGATCTCGTTCATGGAGTCGGCGTCTGGAGAAACAGGTCTGATGTTCTCTAGCTCCAGCTCCATTTTAATCTCCTTCCATACTTCTAACATCTAGACACAATACAATGAAAACTTATTCGGTTATTCAATTTTCATTGGACTATAGCCTGCCTAGCTGACTCTCTTGTTATCGAAGGGGAGCGCGAATAATCGGCAAGGTTGTTTGGCCGCTCCCGCGGGCTGTTTAGCAGCTACTTTTCTCGCGGCTTTCTCGCTCGTTCGCGCGCACGCTCCCAACAAAACCGCCAACAAAAAGTTTTCAAAAGTTCTTCTTATTTGTTTGTAACGTTTGAAATAATGCTTGCGAGACATATTTGTTTGACACAGGCTGTGATTTTGCCATTCACTAGTTGTTTCTCAGTTTTTATAGCGATTAAATAAGGACGTGTACTTGGCATTATAAAAAAAATAAACTAGACAGTCGTGACTGCAAAGTCCCTTTAAGGTGATGTTACACGGGACGATTTGCAACGACGATTTTTAGTGCAATACAGCGTTGCAATATTGTTGCAACACCGCGTTAGTCACAACATTGATCCAACATTGCAACGCTGTGTTGCGCTAAAAATCGTCGTTGCGAATCGTCAATCGTCCTGTGTAACGTCACCTTTAAGGTACTCAATTGAGCAATTCTGTTTTCACCTTAAAATCGAGGTATTTCTCAATCACGGCGACGGTCACATAATCCATGGTTGATAAACCAGGAATTGCATTAAAACCTGAAAAAAAAAAGAAAAGAGATAAAACAATTCAAGCAGGTTTGAAAAATAAATCCTAGTCTCAAAAGGACTCAGATTTTTTTTAGTACAGTAGCTATGAGCTTTCGACTGTATCGCACAGTCTTCACCAGCAATAAACACTCAGTGTTGTTACGTGAATTAGTCACGTAACAACGAATGATTAAGAATCGCGGGAAGTTCATAACCAGGGTTGAACGCAGGGGTCTAATATGGATGGCCTCCTTGATTTTTCTGTTATTTCGAACTGGTTGCTAGTTTATAAGCGTTGTCTCTTTCTGTAGTGATAGTAAATAACGTTTTTGATCAAACTGTTACATACCCAGTTTACAAAACATGGAGTAGATTTTGGCTCTCATGTTTTCAGACACATCCACGATGGCCTGACTTGGCCGGTCAGCGGGTAGCGGGATGACACCTTGGCGTTCCTGTACTGTTCCCATGAGAGGC